ACCTCTTAATCTCCCTCACCTATTTCTTTCTTCACCCCATTTCCCTCCCCTCTGGCAATCACCTGTTTCTTCTTGGTATCTATAACTCTGTTTCTGTTTTCTTATGTCTGTTCATTTGTTTTGTTTTGTTTTTAGATTCCACAATAAGTGAAATCATGTAGTACTTGCCTTTCTCTGTCTGCCATGTCATTTAGCATAGTACCTCGAGGTCCATCCATGTTGTTGCAGATGGTAAGATATCATTCTTTTTATGCCTCAGGAATATTCCATTGTGTATGTATACCACATCTTCTTTTTCCATTCATTTATTGATGGGTATTTAGGTTGCTTCCATATATTGGCTTTTGTGAATAATGCTACAATGAACATGGGGTGCATATATCTTTTCTAATTAGTGTTTTCATTTTCTTCAGATGAATGCACAGGAGTGGAATTGATGTCATGTGGTAGTTCTAGTTTTAATTTTTTTAATTAATTAATTAATTTTGGTTTCATTGGGTCTTTGTTGCTGCATGCAGGCTTTCTTTAGTTGTGGAGACTGGGGGCTACTCTTTGTTGTGGTGTGCGTGCTTTTCATGGCAGTGGCTTCTCTTGTTGCAGAGCATGGGCTCTAGGCATGCAGGCTTCAGTAATTGTGGCATGCAGGCTCAGTAGTTGTGGCTCATGGGCTCTAGAGTGCAGGCTCAGTTGTTGTGGCACATGGGCTTAGTTGCTCTGCAGCATGTGGGATCTTCCCACAGCAGGGCTCGAACCCACGTGCCCTGCATTGGCAGGCAGATTCTTAACCACTGCACCACCAGGGAAGTCCCTAGTTTTAATTTTTTGAGAAATCTTCATACTGTTTTCCACAGTGGGTACAATTTACATTCCCAACAATAGTGCATGAGAGTTCCCTTTTCTCCACATCCTTCCTAACACTTGTTATTTGTTTCTTTTGATATTAGCCATGCTGACAGGTGTTAGGAGATATCTCACTATGGCTTTGATTCTCATTTCTCTGGTGATTAATGATGCTGAGCATCTTCCCACATGCCTGCTGGTCATCTGTATGTATTCTTTGGAAAAATGTCTATTCAGATCCTCTGCCCATTTTTTAATTGGATTGTTTGTTTTTTTGATGTTGAGTTGTATGAGTTCTTTGTATCTTTCAGCCTTTCTTTGTCTTTTGATTGGAGCATTTAGTCCATTTACATTTAAAGTAATTATTCATAGATATGGACCTATTGCCATTTTGTTAATTTTGGGGGATTGTTTTGTTGTGTAGTTCTTTCTTCTTTTCCTCTCCTCTTTTGCAATTTGATGGCTTTCTTTAGCATTATGTTTGGATTCCTTTCTCTCTTTTTTTGTGTGTATCTATTATAGGTTTTGGTTTGTGGTCACCATGAGGTTCATATATAACAGCTCTCTATCTATCTATCTCTCATCTATGATTACATATAGATGTATATATGATTAATTGATGATCTCTTAAGTTCGAATGTATTCTAACAACCCTGCATTTTTACTCCTCCCACAACAATGTTGAATATTTTTGATGTCATATTTTACAACTTTTTGTTTTTTGTATCCCTTAACTACTTATTTTGTATATAGATGATTTCCCTACTTTTGTCTTTTAACCTTCCTGCTAGCTTTATAAATAGTTGATCTACTATTTTGCCTTTACCAGTGAGATATTTTCTTTCATAATTTTCACATTTCTAATTGTGGCCTTTTCTTTTCCACTTAAAGAAGTTCCTTTAACGTTTCTTGTAAAGCCAGTTTAGTGGTGCTGAACTCTTTCAGTTTTTGTTTGTCTGTAAAACTCTCCTTCAAGTATGAGTGATAACTTTGCCAGGTAGAATATTCTTGTTTGTAGATTTTCCCCTTTTATCATTTGATTGTATTGTGCCACTCCCTTCTGGCCTGCAAAGCTTCTGTTAAAGAGTCAGCTGATATTCTTATGGAGGTTCCCTTGTACATAACTAGTTGCTTTTCTCTTGCTGTTTTTAATATTCCCTCTTAATCGTTCACTTTTTGCCACTTTAATAGTATGTGTTTTGGTGTAAATCTCTTTGGGTTCATCTTGTTTGTGATTCTCTGTACTTTCTTACTTGGGTGTCTGTTTCCTTCCCCAGGTTAAGGAAGTTTTCCACTATTATTTCTTCAAATAAGTTCTCTGCCCCTTGGTCTCTGTCTTCTCCTTCTGGGACCCCCATCATGTGAATGTTAGTATGCTTGATATTGTTCCAGAGGTTTCTTAAACTATCCCCATTAAAAAAAACTTTTTTCTCTTTTCTGTTCGGCTTAAGAGATTTCCATAACTTTGTCTTTCAGATCACTGATCTATTCCTCTGCATCATCTAATCTACTGTTGATTCCTTCTAGTGTATTTTTTATTTCAGTTATTGTATTCTTCAGCTTTGTTTGGTTCTTCTTTATATTTTCTATTCCTTTGTTAAACTTCTCACTGTGCTTATCCATTCTTCCCCTGAGTTCAGTGAGTATCTTTATGACCATTACCTTGAACTCTTTATCATGTAGTTTTCTTACCTCCACTTCAGTTATTTCTTTTATGGAAATTTTGTCTTGTTCAATCATTTGGAACATACACCTCTGTTTCCTCATTTTGCCCAATATTCAGTGTTTATATCTGTGTGTTGTTGGTCCATTATGTTTCCTGATCTTGAAGAAGTGCCCATGGTAGGAAACATCCTGTGGTTCCAGCAGCATGCTCCCCTTTGGTCATGAAAGCTGTATGTTCTATGGATGCCCCCTATGTGCGATGCTTGTGCCCTTCTTTTGTGGTGGTATCAACTACTGTGGGCACACTGGTATGTGGGGCTGACAACTAGCCAAATTGGCTGCTAGGCCATGCTTTGTACAGTAGCTGTGGGCCCACTGGAGGGCTGGGTAAGCTTCCCCAGCTTCCTTCATGGTTGGCTGCACACCCAGGGGGATGTGGGGCTGATGCTGGTCCACTGAAGGGTAAGACTGTGTCCCTGTGTGGCTGTCTGCATAGCCTGGTGGCGGTGGTGGGCTCAGCATTGGTGCTGGCCCACTAGTATGAGTGGCTGGGTCCCCATGGGGCTGTCTACATGACCCTGGGGGCTCAGGGCTCATGCAAGCCCACCGTAGGTCGGGGCCAGGTCCCTATGTGGCTGTCTGCATGGCCCAGAGGGACTCAGGGCAGGTGCTGTCCTGCTGGTGGGTGGGGCCAGGTCCCCACATGGCTGTGTACATGTCTGGGTTGGGTTGGGCTGGTACAGGCCCACTGGTGGTGGTAAGCCTCCAGCACGAATAGGCTAGAGGGAGGATTTCCAAATGGCATTTGCTAGCACTGGTGTTATCTCGGTAGAATGAGCTCCCCAGAGTGGCTGCTAACAGTGTCTAAGGGGAATCCCAGTTGCCTGCTGCCTCTCTGGGAGGCTGTTCAAGACCAGCAAGTAGGTCGGACTGAAGCTCTTTTCAAACTACTGCCTCTGTGATGGGACTCGGAGCATATGAGACTTTGCACGTGCCCTATAAGAGTGACATTTTTGTTTCTGATAACCCTCTGGCACTCCCGAACATAAGCCCCACTGGGTTTCAAAGCTAGGGGGCTCATCTCCCTGGAGCAGGCCCCCTGGCTGGGGAGCCCAGTGAAGTGCTCAGACTCCTCACTCCTTGGGGAGGACCTTTATGATTGTGATATTCTTCCCATTTGTGGGTCACCAGCCAAGGCAGTGGGTCTTGACTATACCATGTCTCTACCTCTCCTATTCATCTCATTATGGTTCCCTCTTTATCTCTTTAGTTATGGAAATTTTTTTTTCTGCTAGTATTCAGGTCATTTTCATAGGTAGTTGCTCTGTAAGTAGTTGTAATTTTGGTGTGTCCATGGGAGGAGGTGAGTTTAGGGTCTTCCTATGCTACCATCTTGAACACCTTTCCCTAAAAAGACAGATTCTTAAATTCCATTCCCAAGAACTCTCTGACATGTTGAGGTAGAGTCCAGAGGTCTATTTTTAACAAACCCATCAGAATATTTTGATGTAGCAGGACCACAGACCATATTTTGAGAAATGCCACTTTACCTTGTTGGTTTTTATTTTAAAAAGAGAACTTAGGCTAATTTTGAGACCATTACAACTGAAAAGCAGGCTTTGCTTGGAAGGTATCAGTGGCAAGGCAGAGAAAGAAAGCAAAACAAAGGATGGGCTTGTTCGCCGAAAACAAATAGACTGCCAGTTATTTCTCTAGCAAAAATGGTCTTGCTTGGGATCAGCAGAGAATTGTGGTTTGGGGTCTGCAGCCATGGTGAGCCACATGCAAGTCCCCGCATAGCAAAGGAAGGAGAACTCTTTTAACAGAAGGGAAAAGGAAGTTGTAAGGGCTCTAGCAAACAAAGAGTCCATGGCTTTTCCTTGCTGATTTGCTGCTAGGAAAGAAGAGGAGTCTTTCTTCTTGCTGTTGAGCTCTGCTGTCATCACAGTGTGTGAAAGCTCCCCCTTCTGGTCTCCAGACTCTATTTAATTATTTAATTTAAGGTTTCTATTTATTAATTTTTACAAGGTAAATGAGATAAAATTAAGAAGAAAATTAATACTTTAAATTCAGAATCATAATTTATTAATTTCTTTGTTCTATGTATAGAAATGAGCCAGAAATATGCATTTATTCAAGAGACAAAATACCCGTTGTATACCTAAACAGAGTTAAAATGATATTCCTGTTTTCTTATGGTGTGGCCCAAGTGGTTCCAAGGCTGGAACATGGTTATCCTAATTCCTAACCTTTCCATAACTTTCCTGTTGAAGAGTTAACAATAATTTAAGGTATGATAATTTAAAATAATTATAAGCAATATATTTATATTCCCTTGCTTTACATAAAAAGGGAAGTCAGAGAATTTTAAATAATAAGATGCTGTAGGAGAGGTATCAATAATTTTTGATGGAAGACATGACTCATCTGTGCTAAAAGCAAAGTTTCAACTAACAATAAAATATCAATTTCTTTTTTCCTTTTTCTAATTTCAGAAGTAAAATGTAGCCTCCCACAGATTATGAATGGAATCAAGAAGGAACTGAAACTAAGAAAAGTATATCACTCTGGAGATAATGTAACTTTGGAGTGTGAAGATGGGTATACTCTGGAAGGCAGTCCCTGGAGTCAGTGCCAGGAAGATGACCTGTGGGACCCTCCTCTGGCCATATGTACCTCTCGTAAGTGCAAGTGCAAGGAATGTAGGTCCTTCCCAGCCCTGGTTACTGTTCATTCATTCATCTGTACTGACACTGAATGTGGTGGTGTGCCATATGGTGTGCATTAGCTAAGAGCTAAGGAGTGCAGTAAGAGTCCCTAATTCTTCCCCAAACGCCCTTAGCAATGAGAATAAGGCAAGCCTTGCTCCTCACACTTCTTAACCCATCCATCTCTCCTCAGGGACTCCTCTGAACCTTTTTTGCCCATTATCACTCTGTTGCTGCATACATTGCACAGTAATAATTTGATTACATCCTATGGGTCTTAAAATTCAGTAGCAGATTAGTGGTAGAGCAGGCCTTCAAGAATGTTTTCAGCATGAGTCGGGGATCACCTTACAACTTGCAGAGACTAGCTGGCTGGTCTCCCACACTGGTGTAGACTACAGGATTTTAACCTAGTACATTGGATACAGTGATTTAGGAATCATGTGTCATTGAGATCTGTAGAAGGGTAGCCTTCTGCTGGCAACTAGAGGGTGATGTAAAATAGAAAATCCTAAACCTTAAACTTGTACACATCAAGTAACAGATGAGCAAAATGAATAATGAATAACCTTCCTTAATCTAAATTAGTCTTAGCCTTCTCTTCTCCCCCATTCTTATCACTCTTACTTAAAATATGTGGTTGAATACCAAGATTGTTCAAGATACAATTTTTTTACAGTTAATGCCTTAAATACATTAACAAAGCTCACTCGCAAATAATATTTCTAAATTATAAACTTGATACTCCCTTAATATCAAATTATATTCATTTCTTTGGCAAAAAGATCACTGCCTATCTGAATGTCTTTTGAGTATTCTAACGATGTGGCTGTGAGAGACAGAAAATTCACATAATGTGGGGGGACTGACCTGCCAGTTATTAAAATAGAAAGTCACAATACATAAATCATTTTATATCACCGAAAATAGACTTATCTTTATTAAAAATGGAATAAAGTAGATATTAATAAAATAGAGCTAGTATAAATAGAAATTAAAGTATCTTACAGAAAACAATCTAGTAACGGAGACATCATCAATCCAAGGGGAAGAAAAAGATGATCAAATAGTATACGTAGCACTGAAAAAATTTGGAACCTTTCTTTATATCTTACAATAAATACCAGATGTAATAAATAGTTAAAAGTTTTAAAAGTCAACATAGGAAAGCTAAAGTAGAAAAGGAAAAAGAAGAAGATAAAACAGCTAGAAAAAGAAAAACAACTTTTGGAAAATTTTGGTATATAGAGAAAATTATAAAAGGTCAACAAATTTGACTTAGAACTTTTAAAAGTAAATAAGAAAGCAGTAGACAGATGAGAAATATGTTAAATATAATGAAGTGTTAATAATTTAATACACGTAGCAGTAGTGTTGGTTGTGGTAATAATAAAGGTTGTAAAAGTTAACATATGTTGAGCACTTAATTCAACTGTTCAAAGATTAGATATTCTATAACTATGTAAAAACTTAGATGCATGAGAAAATGTACTAGAAGGGAATGTACTAAAATATTTCAGGATAGTAGGATTATGGATGATATTTTTCTTTTGTTCTGTTTTATAAACTTTCTGCTCTAATTATACTAGTTTTATGACAAAATAGTAATTTTAAAAGAAAAAAACAGACTTTGCTAAGTACACAAAATAATATGAGTTTGTGTGAGTAAAACCAATGGCTTTTTATATTAGAAAAAAATTAAGAATCTGTACAGAAAAAAATCAGGATGAATTATAACTGCTGAGAGCTCCTGTTTGATCATATTGTGTGCCAGACTGATGTTTTTTGTGGCTTTTGCTTCCTTTTAGGCACGAGTGATGAGCTCATAGCTGGTAAGTTTTATGAAGGGTTTGCTGAGGAAACATCCTTAACAGTAGGTATCCACTGATAATAAGTGAAATGTAAAAAGAGAGATCAAAATATCCTAGACTGCAATTTTAATTAGAAAGAAAAGAATAATGAATTCAGGCCATAGTGTAGCAAAACTGGTATCCTTATATGCATATAGAGTGGGTGTCCTTTATCAAAGTTCCCTTACTATCTTTGAACCATTATAAAAAAAAGAACCATTCTTCCTATTTTAATGTGTCTGGAGAAGGCAACTTGCTCTTTAGTTTATAACCTGGGAATAGTCTTCAGGATGGTAGTCATGCCCATTTGCATAAATTGAAAGCCACAAAGACCAATTTTCTAAGCCCATTTCTGTGATCTGCCTATGTGAGAGGAATAGTTTTGTGGTAGAGTTTCTACCACAAAGTAGAAAGTAGACTCTACAAAGTAGAGTCCGCTGCATAGATTAGCTCGTGCCTTGCGCCTCACACAAGAGACATGCAGGGTCATGGTGAGCTGAGCAGAGGAGCTCCAGTGTTTGTTCTCACCCACTTATTGAAACGCTGCTGTTGGACAAAGGTCATAAACTGCTCTCTCATTGCTCATTTATAACCCTGGGGTAATAAGACTAATATGCTAGATTAAACCTGGAGCAGAGGGGAAATCTTAAAGATAAGCCTGTGGGGGGTGTTTTTTAAAAACAGAATTTATACTTACTTTTTATTGGTTTTTTTGGGTGTTTTTTTTTTTGCGGTACGCGGGCCTCTCACTGTTGTGGCCTCTCCCGTTGTGGAGCACAGGCTCCGGACGCGCAGGCTCAGCAGCCATGGCTCACGGGCCTAGCCGTTCCACGGCATGTGGGATCTTCCTGGACCAGGGCACGAACCCGTGTCCCCTGCATCGGCAGGCAGACTCTCAACCACTGCGCCACCAGGGAAGCCCTATACTTACTTTTTAAAAACTCATTAAGACACAGTTTGAAACCTACAGGTTATATTTTCCATGCATTTAATTACCATGTTTTACTGCCTAGGCATGTTCTTTGGTATGATCCTCTTGATTTTACCCGTCATTGTTTCCTGTTTGATAATTCTAAAGCGCAAAAAAGGGTAAGTACAGCCATATTCTCCTAGAATATGTTTATAACTCTATTTGCTGCTTCTTGGAAGCCAAAGAGATGTAAAAGATGTTGACCTAAAACAGATAGGCTGCCAGTTATTTCTCCAGCAAAAATGGGTTTATTTGGGATCCGCAGAGAATAGCAATTTGAAGTCTACAACCATGGTGAGTCATATGCAAGTCCCTGCATGCCAAGGGAAGGAGAATGCTTTTCTTGGGAGGAAAAGGAAGTTGGGAGGGCTGTAGTAAACAAAGAGTCCATGGGTTTTCATTGGCTGAGCCCTTTCCAGGAAAGAAAAGGAGTCTTTCTTGTTCCTGCTGGTCTCTGTTGTCTTCCTAGGGCAGGAGAACTCCCCTTTCTGGTCCCTCAACTCTATTTATTTGAGGTTTTGGGGGATTAATTTTTTACAAAGAAAACCTCAAAAAAGAAGTACTACATAAACAGAGGTGATAATTCTTATAAAGAAGGCTGATGACACATATTAGGCATAAAGAAGGATTTACACTATTAAAAACAACAAAATTCAGCTGGGTAAATTTGAAGATCTAATTGGCTTCATTAAAAGATTCATGGATTGGGCAGCATCCCATTTAGCAACTAGAAGGATGCACAGAGGAGTTGTACAAATGGAAGGTTTTCATAGGAAGAAGGGTGGGGCAAAGGAGCTATTCGGGGAAACAAGGATTATTTTTAAATCAGGACATCTTCTTTGGAGGCAGGGCAGAGGTGTTAGACAGCAAGGATTTATGAAATTGATTGCCTCTTCTTCCTCTGGGAGGTGAAGAGGACCTACATAACAGATTACCTTATTCATGCTGACCAGAAAATTTCAGAATGGTTGATTAAGATTAATTTCTGCAGGTCAAAACTGCAATTAAGTCTTGGGATCAAATGGTTCCATTTTGTGTCTGTTACTTTCTTTAAAGAAATATATATGATAAGAAGAACACTTTTTTTAAAAGCATAGAATTTATGAAGGACTCAAATTTTGCAAAAGAGAAAATAGAAGGAAGTTTTACAAGGGTGTTGATGAGAATGTTGGTATCCTTGTTTTGCTAAAACATTTCAGACTCCAACCTTTATACACTGACCCTATCAGGGCACTAGAAGTTAGAAAGTGTGTCCCACTGGCACACATACCCAGGCTGTCAGTGTGGAAGAATTAAGGTTTTGCATGGGTATTTTTAAAAAATAATAATCTTTGAGATTGGTTCAAGATGGCGGAGTAGAACGACTGCTCTCACTCCCTCTTTCGAGAACACCGGAATCAAAACTAACTGCTGAACAATCATCAACAGGAAGACACTGGAACTCACCAAAAAAGATACTCCACATGCAAAGACAAAGGAGAAGCAACAATGAGACTGTAGGAGGGGCGCAACCACAATAAAATCAAATCCCACCCAGTCACACTGGGTGGGTGACTCACAACTGGAGAACACTTATACCACAGAAGTCCAGCCATTGGAGTGAAGATTCTGAGCCCCACGTCAGGCTTCTGAACCTGGGGGTCCGGCAATGGCAAGAGGAATTCCTAGATAATCACACTTTGAAGGCTAGCGGGATTTGATTGCAGCATTTTGACAGGACAGGGGGAAACAGAGACTCCACTCCTGGACGGCACACACAAAGTAGTGTCTACATTGGGACCCAGAAGAAGGAGCAGTGACCCCATAGGAGACTGAACCAGACATACCTGCTAGTGTTGGAGGGGCTCCTGCAGAGGTGGGGGGTGGCTGTGCCTCACCGTGAGGACAAAGACACTGGCAGCAGAAGTTCTGAGAAGTACTCCTTGGTGTGAGCCCTCCCAGAATCCACCATTAGCTCCACCAAAGAGCCCGGCTAGGCTCCAGTGTTGGGTTGCCTTAGGCCAAAAAAACAACAGGGAGGGAACCCAGCCCCACCCATCAGCAGACAAGCAGATTAAAGTTTTACTGAGCTCTGCCCACCAGAGCAACAGCCAGCTCTACCCACCACCAGTCCCTCCCATCAGGAAACATGCACAAGCCTCTTAGATAGCCTCATCCACCAGAGGGCAGACAGCAGAAGCAAGAAGAACTACAATCCTGCAGCATGTGGAACAAAAACCACATTCACAGAAAGATAGACAAGATGAAAAGGCAGAGGGCTATGTACCAGATGAAGGAAGAAGATAAAACCCCAGAAAAACAACTAAATGAAGTGGAGATAGGAAACCTTCCAGAAAAAGAATTCAGAATAATGATAGTGAAGATGATCCAGGACCTCAGAAAAAGAATGGAGGCAAAGTTCGAGAAGATGCAAGAAATGTTTAACAAAGGTCTAGAAGAATTAAAGAACAAACAAACAGAGATGAACAATACAATAACTGAAATGAAAAATACACTAGAAGGAATCAATAGCAGAATAACTGAGGCAGAAGAATGGATAAGTGAGCTGGAAGACAGAATGGTGGAATTCACTGCTGAGGAACAGAATAAAGAAAAAAGAATGAAAAGAAATGAAGACAGCTGAAGAGACCTCTGGGACAACATTAAACGCAAGAACATTTGCATTATAGGGGTCTCAGAAGGGGAAGAGAGAGAGAAAGGACCCGAGAAAATATTTGAAGAGATTATAGTGGAAAACTTCCCTAACATGGGAAGGGAAATAGCCACCCAAGTCCAGGAAGTGCAGAGAGTCCAATACAGGATAAACCCAAGGAGAAACACACCGAGACACATAGTAATCAAATTGGCAAGAATTAAACACAAAGAAAAATTATTGAAAGCAGCAAGGGAAAAATGACAAATAACATACAAGGGAACTCCCATAAGGTTAACAGCTGATTTCTCAGCAGACACTCTACAAGCCAGAAGGGAGTGGCATGATATACTTAAAGTGATGAAAGGGAAGGACCTACAACCAAGATACTCTACCCAGCAATGATCTCATTCAGATTCCATGGAGAAATCAAAACCTTTACAGACAAGCAAAAGCTAAAAGAATTCAGCACTACCAAACCAGCTCTACAACAAATGCTAAAGGAACTTATCTAAGTGGGAAACACAAGAGAAGAAAAGGACCTATGAAAACAAACCCAACACAATAAAGAAAATGGAAATAGGAACATACGTATCGATAATTACCTTAAACATGAATGGATTAAATGCTCCAACCAAAAGACACAGGCTTGCTGAATGGATACAAAAACAAGACCCATATATATGCTGTCTGCAAGAGACCCACTTCAGGCCTAGGGACACATACAAACTGAAAGTGAGGGGATGGAAAAAGATATTCCATGTAAATGGGAATCAGAAGAAAGCTGGAGTAGCAATACTCATATCAGATAAAATAGACTTTAAAATACAGAATGTTATAAGAGACAAGGAAGGACACTATGTAATATTCAAGGGATCAATCCAAGAAGAAGATATAACAATTATAAATATATATGCACCCAACATAGGAGCACCTCAATACATAAGGCAACAGCTAACAGCTATAAAAGAGGAAATCGACAGTAACACAATAATAGTGGGGGACTTTAACACCTCACTAACACCAATGGACAGATCATCCAAACAGAAAATTAATAAGGAAACAGAAGCTTTAAATGACACAATAGACCAGATAGATTTAATTGATATTTATAGGACATTCCATCCAAAAACAGCAGATTATACTTTCTTCGCGAGTGCACATGGAACATTCTCCAGGATAGATCACATCTTGGGTCATAAATCAAGCTTCAGTAAATTTAAGAAAATTGAAATCATGTCAAGCATCTTTTCTGACCACAATGCTATGACATTAGAAATCAATTACAGGGAAAAAAACATAAAAAACACAAATACATGGAGGCTAAACAATACGTTACTAAATAACCAAGAGATCACTGAAGAAATCAAAGAGGAAATCAAAAATTACCTAGAGACAAATGACAATGAAAACATGACAATCCAAAACCTATGGGATGCAGCAAAAGCAGTTCTAAGAGGGAATTTTATACCTTTACAAGTCTACCTCAAGAAACAAGAAAAATCTCAAATAAACAATCTAACGTTAAACCTAAAGAAAGTAGAGAAAGAACAAACAAAACCCAATGTTAGCAGAAGGACAGAAATCATCAAGATCAGAGCAGAAATAAATGAAATAGAAACAAAAAAAACAATAGCAAAGACCAATAAAAATAAAAGATTGTTCTTTGAGAAGATAAACAAAATTGATAAACCATTAATCAGACTTCTGAAGAAAAAGAGGGAGAGGACTCAAATCAATAAAATTAGAAATGAAAAAGGAGACGTTACAACAGACACTGCAGAAATACAAAGTATCCTAAGAGACTACTACAAGCAACTCTATGCCAATAAAATGGACAACCTGGAAGAAATGGACAAATTCTCAGAAAGGTATAACCTTCCAAGACTGAACCAGGAAGAAATATTAAATATGAACACACTAATCAAAAGTAATGAAATTGAAACTGGGATTAAATATCTTCCAACAAACAAAAGTACAGGACCACATGGCTTCACAGGTGGATTCTATCAAATATTTAGAGAAGAGCTAACACCCATCCTTCTCAAACTCTTCCAAAAAATTACAGAGGAAGGAACACTCCCAAACTAATTCTACGAGGTCACCATCACCCTGATACCAAAACCAGACAAAGATACTACAAAACAAAGAAAATTACAGACCAATATCACTGATGAATATAGATGCAAAAATCCACAACAAAATACTAGCAAACAGAATCCAACGACACATTAAAAGAATCATACACTGTGATCAAGTGGCAGTTATCCCAGGGATGCAAGGATTCTTCAATATACGGAAATCAATCAATGTGATACACCATATTAACAAATTGAAGAATAAAAACCATATGATCATCTCAATAGATGCAGAAAAAGACTTTGACAAAATTCAACACCTATTTATGATAAAAACCCTCCAGAAAGTAAGCACAGAGGGAACCTACCTCAACATAATAAAGGCCATATATGACAAACCCACAGCCAA